TCGTTAGTATGTACTTACGAATATGATTCCTTTTATGGTGATATCCGTATAGTAATCGGGATGGATTTCTTGGAGAGAAAGCAAGTGATCGATCAAAGTTTGACCTTTTTTGTTCTTTTCACGTTTTTCATCAACCAGTCTTTGCAAGAATCCATCGAATCTATTCCCCAAACTTTTGGTCCGTTTCTCAAAATTTGTGACCCAACGTATGATCGTTAGATAGTCAGCTAGGTTTCCGGTACCGGCTCCGGCCAACGCCTCCGATATAAGCTCCCTCACGAGTTTTGCTTCGTCGTTATCTTCTGTGCCGCCACCGTAATATCGCTTTCCGGCGACCATCATGATGAGGTTGTTGAATGCCAAGTTGGCTAATAATGATTTCATCTCCACTTCAACAAATCTCTGACAAATATTACCAAATTAGTAAATTTTAGTAGCTAGATACAAAAGATGTATAGGTTTTTTTTTTTTTTTGGTCGAAAGATGTATTTTAGTTATTGAAATTAAGTGATTATAAACAAAAGAAGTACTCCCATTAATAATATAAGATGTTTTAGAATTATTTCAATAAAAAATCTTATACATCTTTTGTATCTAGCTATATATACATCTTAATAACTTACATTTACATATGAGGTATATTATCTTAGCTATATATATGTAAGTCGATATATTAATAATATCTGTTTTTTTTTAATAAAAGTTATTCAACATAAAAGAAAAAAACTAATTTCAAGTTTAACATGTAAAGTTACATTATCTTAAATTTCGAACTTAATAGGATATTTCAAATTATATAGCCACTAGTTCCTATGTTTCATTTTGATTTTTTTGGTAAATGGTTAATTTTGTTGCTCCAAATTAACATATGGATCTTTGCTATTCCCTCCGTTTCATAAAGATTTTATTTTTTTTAGAGTTTTCATACAAATTAAAAAAATAATTAATCTTCTATAATAAATATATTAATTTTTACAATAAACAATTTTTTAAAAAAGTTAACCAATAGTGTTTCAATAAATTTCTTGAAATTTATAACCTATTAGTAAAAATGCATTAAAATAAAATATTTATTTTTATAGAATTTTTTTTTTTTGTAAAATATGTATTTTTATGGAAAGGAGGAAGTATTACTGAAGACTTTTTAAGTACGCATCCTATGTTTCATTAATGTTTAAGCTTTTTTTTTTCAAATGATTTTTACAAAATTGTACATAGAATTATGATATGTTGACTAAGTCGCCTACTTTTAAATTTATTATATACTCATCATACACAAAAAAAAAAGTTGTGGAAGATATAAGACCGTCCCATTGCAATTCTCTCTTATAATTTCTAATCATTAAATAAATTGAAAAAATTAAAAAAAAAAAGGAAGAAACAAGGTTAGAGTCGTTTCTCTTTTGAGAAACTAAAACATTCATTAGAAACCTTCTCAACACATGTGCTTCATTAATTGGTTTGATTTTGTCATTCAATTATATAATTTAATTAATTTTAAAATATTAGAATTATATTGTTATTATATAAACTAGATACCCCGTTTAGAAGACTCACCAATGTGGGTGCTTAGTAGTCATTTTGTATTAGTATTTCATAAATAGATAATTAAATACGCATGGAACAAGAATTGAGTGAGTCTTACCTGCAAAATAGATATTTAAGGTGACGACAAAATAATAAATAAAAACGTCTTACGTGTGAGGAGATTGTGGAGAGGTGTGTTACGAGCCGTCGGATCTCGTCTTTACGGATAGACAAAAAGTTACTGATCCTTTGAGTAGAGAATATTTCTACGGTGGCGATGCGGCGGAGATTCCTCCAGTGATCGCCGTAAGGAGCAGTAACCATGTTGGTGTTGTTATAACCTACGTGTGTGGCCATGATAAGCTCGGGACGGTTCGCAAGAACGAGGTCGTTTTTGGTGAAACATTCTACGGCGAGTGCATACGAATTGATGACGTACACGCGGCGGTTTCCGAGGCGGAGGTTAAAGATTGGAGCGTTTTTTAGGGATTGAGAGAGGGAGAGGAGTGTTCGATGAACCGGGTTCTTGAGGAGGTGGAGGTGACCGATAACCGGTAAAGAGTAAGCCGGAGAAGGAGGAAGGTTTAGTTTCCGGTTTGATTTTGTGAACAAGAATTT